CTTCTGCTTGATACAGACCAGAGGTTGGATTCACTGGGTAGGCTACATCTTATCAATAGCATGTCTCAGCTTTGATAGATAGCTACCCAAAGCTCGCTCCTGTGTCACTTGAAAGTTATTCCTTTCCTCTTTATTTGGAGGAGCACTGAAAGCTCCTCCAGGGTGGAATTTTAGGAATTCTTCTATTTTTCTTGGCATGGGGCTATTCTTGTATAGATTGTTATCTTGGCCTCTTTTTCTTAAAGATGCATATTTTGGCAGCTAAAGTTCAATAAACAAATGCGAAATGGTTTGTCTAAAGAAGGATCTCCAAATTTTACATACATGGTTAAGTATCCTTTTTTCCATAAAAGCTACTATACATCCCTAGCTCTATTTTGAAATCACTGAGATTCCTATCTTTTGCAAGCCATTTTCAATGCAAATATTTGGATTTAAGCTTTGATTTATTATAGATGATGGGAAGATCACCCTTTTCAATCAGTGGAAATAAAACCTTCTCAAGTAAGCACTTCAGTCTCTCTCCTCTGACTCATACAGGGAAAGATAAGACTAAATGTAACAGAGGTTGAGTAGAAGCCCTTTTTTCCTTTCGTTTACTGATCTGTAACATCAAACCAGAATGCAGGCCTTAACCTGCTTTTGAGTTATTACACGTAAAGTTACTTTGAAAGTACTGAAGTCAAAGTAATGCTAGCAGTAAAAATCACTGTGTTTTTTTAATAATCTCAGGACATCTTTATGCCAGCTGATTACTTGTGTCTATAAAGCATGCCAAAAGGACCTCTTTCCAATTTAGAAATGTGCAGTTTTTATGGTTTGTAAGTAGGTTTTAATTTGATGCAGAAGTAATTGTGTCAGATAGATTAAGGTAATGATTCAAGAACTCTTTTTTTGCTAAGATTTCCATCTAGCAGAGAAGTGCCACCGTGGTCTGGATACAAAGTGTGGCAGCAAGGACTGAGGGACAGTCATAGGAGCAAAGAATCATTTGTGTTGGAAAGGACCTTGAAAGGCCAGCTAGTCCAACTCCCCTGCAATGCACAGGGACACCTGCAGCTCCATCAGGTGCTCACAGTCCCATCCAGCCTGACTCCGACTGTCTCCAGGGATGGGGATTCCTCCATGTCTCTGGGCATCCTGTGCCAGTGCTTCACAACAAACTGTACAAGCCCCTGTGCCCACAGATGCTCACTCCTGTTACAGCTCCCTGCTGTACTAGCGTTCCTTTTTGTTACAGCTTACGGCCTGCATTAAAACAGGAATAGGTCTTCCTTCTCAAAGCCTTTTGGCTAAGTTAGTTGTCTCAATGGCTGTTGGAATATTAAAAAAAAGAAGCCTCTTGATTGCATCCATTTTCTTACATTGGCCTTTACTTCCAGTTGGTTAAACACAGTGTGTGGACTTCTTTAAAACAGACTTGCTGCAGTGAGTTGTCACCACAGAATAGAAACCTCTGATGCGTAAGTGCCTCTGAAAAGGATGGCCCTGCAGAAGCAAAAGGGGAAGAGTGTTTATGCATTGATGTGCCTTCCATGTCCTGCAAAAAAAATCATCCACCTTAACTATATCATAACCTGCTTAGCATTTAGTTTTACATGCCTTGAGCCACATGCCTCCACTTTGCTACCGTTAATTTTCTTCGGAGCAAGCCAGCTTCTGTATGCCAGTGCAGATGTGCATAAGTGGCAGCATCCAGGAGCAGGTGAGGTACCAGTTAAGCACACAGATCCTGATCCTACTTGTGCTTTTGGGAAGGCTGTTGAGCTCAGTGAGGTTGAAGATGTTGAAATCACAGAGAGTGGGAGGTTTCCTCTGCATTTCTCTTTGGATTGCTGACTTGTACCTGTGATTAGGAGAGCACTTGTAAAAGAAGCTCGGTGGTGGAACTGCAGTCAGGATCTGGAGGAACAGTGCAAGAACCATGGCTCATAGCTGAGGTGCTCCAGTCCCTTCATCATCTTTCTGTCCCTCCATTGCTCTCTCTCTGATATGTGCGTGTTCCTCTTGAACTGGGGGTGCAGAACTGGACACAGCACTCCAGGTGCAGCCTCACCAACACTGAGTAGAGGGAAAGGATTCCTTCCCTTGGCCTGCTAGTGATACTGTGCACTATACTTTGCCTGATGTGACCAAGGTGCCGCCTGTACCAACGCAGATTGTATTGCTTAGAGACCTAAAACCTGCTGCAAAAGAAGACAAGCTGTGTGGTAACTGTGCAAAATTGGCCTCAGGTGCAGCCTCCAGCTGCCTTCAGACAGGGTTAGCAGTCAAATCATATGCTTTCTTCATTCCCCATGGGAAAGGCAGGGTGCTGAAGGGTATGTTTGGTCTAAAAGCATATGCCAGGCAGGCTTGGAACATGCAGATCTCTCCCCATAACTCGGTGCCCATCAAGGCAGCATTGCTTGTTAGCTTGTGTGTAAGCCAAAGCTGAGTTAAATCATGTAGACTTTGGCCTTAGAATGGATTTTGAATCCGGATGTTTTTTTTTTTATGGTAGCTTGCGGGAAGAAAAAAAAAAAAAGAGAGAGAAAAAAAAAAAAAAAAAGGCTTATTTTCCTGTAATATAATTACTGTATCACTACAGCCTTGGCAAAACCTGATTTACCTTATGGGAAGTCAGCATCACTGGTTGGGATTTGATGACACTTTAAATAACAGGTGATTAGCCTTCCAGATTTACAGCCTAGGCTGTTCTGGGCAGGGATTGTATAATCCTGCCTGCTAAGGGATGGCTCAGCACACTGAATGGAGAGCACGAGGTGCAGGTTGATCTCACCAGCAAAGGTTGCACGCTACTACACTCACAGCATCCAGCTCTGAATAATGTATGGTTTTCCTCTATAGGGCACAGACACCGAGCTTTTCAGCCCTGGCATCGCTTGGATTGCCAGCAACTGATTGTTTTGTTTGTAGTGCTTTGCTAAAGAGCCTGTCAGAGGGGTTACATGGCCTGTGCTGATAAACTGAGATGGGAACAGATGTGAGAGGACCACAGCGCGGCTCTTCTGGACCAGCCTGCCATCTGCAGGCCACTGCTTGCCGTGGTGGAGCGGTGCAGAGCAGCGCTTTGGGGTCTTCTCTTCTTACCAGTCAGATGCTGTCCATCATCCTCAGCCCGTTAAGTCTTTAATAACTCGGTTACAAGGGATGGTCTTGGATGTTCAGTACCACTGTGATGTTCTGCTGCTATTGAATTTCCGCAAAAATGTGATTTTTTTGGACTGTAGTAATTACTGTAGATTAGTGATTACACTGTTAGGTCACTCTTTATTGTGATTTGAGTAGCTTAAATATATTATTGTTGAATTAAAGGTATGTAATACACGACCTGTGCTTTTCCCGTCGATAAGAAATGTAAACTGAGTTGTTTGTTGGGAACAAAACATAAGTCAGTGAACGATCAGTTCACAATTTTCAAAGGTATGATAAAATTCCCTGTGTAAAGTAAAACGTTTGGTGCATGCCACATAACTTTAATCCTTTTTGTCTTTGTTGTAGGTCTTCCTGAACAGTACTACAGCCTCACTTGGTTCCTTAGCCCAATCCTGGGCTTGATCTTCACTCCACTTATAGGTTCAGCTAGTGACCGCTGCACGCTGAGCTGGGGCCGCCGGCGGCCTTTCATCCTTGCTCTCTGCATCGGTGTCCTCTTTGGAGTTGCACTTTTCCTTAATGGCTCCGTTATAGGTAAATGACGAGGAAATCATCTGCATATATCACCTGGTAGCATATCTGCATTCAGATTTTTCTGTAAGAAGTGAATATTACAACCAGCAGCTGAATCACCATACTGTGTTGTGTAACAATCTTTGCAACGCTGCACTTGAGCTGTCCATTTTAAATGCTTTTTACTTTCACTCAGAAGCTACAGTGCTGTGCTGAGTGTAGTGAGTATTGTGCAGTCGTAGCTGTGACTGTTAACACGGCTTTATTCATACAATGGTTGCCAGCATAATGTTTGCAGTCGCTGAGACGAATTTCGTTGATCCTTGACATGGGAAAATTGTAGCAACCTGTTCACAGGGAAATGTTTCCTGTTGTGATCCGTTTTCCCTTTAATGCATATCTGACAACACATCCTGTTTCCAGCATTATTTCAAAAATTATCTTTTCACTTTTTCTTGTGCTTTTCTTAGATCCGGTATTGAAAAAGTCCAGAACACAGTTAATATTTGTTTATCAAAAACTATGTGGGAAAATAATTTTTCCAGAGCCCCCATCAAAGCTGGTAAAAATAGTTTTTCCGTGAGCAAGGTTTACTACAGAGCTTAATCTACAATCTAAGACTCTTTGTAAATATAGTGTAAGAGAGGTGACAGCAAGTACCTTTGGGGAAATGTTTACATCATGATGCAAATGAAAGGAACTTAGCACCTAATAATATCCTCTTGGCTCTCTGCTTTTGGGAAAGCTACAGCTCTATTGTGAAGAGGTTGTACTAATTGAGGAAATGAGGAGAACATTACCTTAGCTCAGCATGTTAGTTTTCAAAGCCAGGTTGGGATGACATACAATGGCTTTCAATTTCTTTTGCTGTGGACAAACTGATGAGCTAAATTCACCCAAGCAATAAGTATTAATTATTTGAATTGTGGTCATTAGTTGTACTTTGGTACTGTGTCTCCAAAATTTGCTCCCCCTCTAGATGCACACATAATAATAGACTGCAGCCCTATTACAAGATTGAAATTACAATCGTAGAATCATTTAGGTAGGAAAAGTCCTCCAAGGTCATCAAGTCCAACCATTATAATTGACAAGGAGCTCTTATTTCCACACCTCAGTTTCAAGTATTCTAGTGCTATTTTTGTGCAATAAAATTTCTTCAAAGAAGGGAGCCTGGAGCAAACTCAGCTGGAACGAGGGCCATTCCGTGGTCTTCTGCAGCCTGTTCCATACTGGAAGATAAAGACTTGATGCTGGCATTCAACTCATACCAGCCACCTAATCTTTTATGGAGAGCAGCTTCATAATGAAACAATGTTACCCTAACTGTAATGGTGGCCTGTATCACTTTTCAGAGAAAAAAAGGCAGTGAATACTGTACACCTCCCAGGAATACAGCCACGTGTAGACAGTCCGTGCTCGTTCTCTCTACTGCCCTGTTGAGATTTGCAACAAATTGAAAGCACTGACACTGCTGGTGTTTCCTGCTGTAACTTTCAACCCAGTGTGGAACACAAAGAGGCTTCTGTAGCATTCCAAGAACATGAGGCAATGAGGATGAGGTGTGCAGGAATCACAGCAGTTGAGATTTAGCTGGTTTTTGATGGCTTAGCCAGTTCATCTTTTTCCACTGTCATTTTCATCAGTTGCCAGACTGATAAAATCATTACTGTACGTGGAACAGCTAAATCCCTCTGATTCAAGTAATTCATGCTTTTGCCCATGATTAGTTTCATGAAAAATTCTCCAGCAGTGTAGTACTGCTGCCTTTCTGAGCAGACAAAACATACTTCATCCCACGCTATCCACAGAAGCTGACTGATGCTTTTTGCAGTGACCTATGAATACCTTCATGTTGCTTTGCCCTTAAATGTTTTGCACGTGAAAGTGATGTAGAAAATACAAATGCTTAAGAAAAGCAGAGACAGAGGTGAGGAGATTAAATTCCATTTAATCCCGTTGTACTGCAACCATTATGTGCTAGGAGCCACGTCAGGAATGCTGTCAGCTGTTCACTTACTTGTGTTTGTAATCGATAGATGAAGTTTTGCTCTTGGATGCTCTCCTCTTCCATCGTGGCTTGTCTGTAAAACAGCCTTCAGCATATGGAGGAAAACACACAAGGAATGTGAATTAATACCTGATGCAATCAGAGGTTTAAGAGAGACTTTCAAAATAGCATTTTGAAAAATAAATATCAGCCTCAAAAATGCAAAAACACAATCTTCTGTTCCAGACCTTCCATAAAGGTGTGCCAGAGAGTTGAAATTGCCATTTTATTCTGCAATAGAATGTTTCCCATGAGTGTGTTAGCCACTTTTCTCTTAAGGAGATTAACCTTGCCCTTAGCAGTTTTTGCTGTTAGACTCATGTGCTCAGATTGCTCACCTGTCTTTCCTCAGGTCTGGCTATTGGCGATGTCCCAGACAGGCAGCCCATCGGCATCGTCCTCACGGTGCTTGGTGTTGTGGTGTTGGACTTCTGCGCTGATGCGACAGAAGGGCCGATTCGGGCGTACCTGTTGGACGTGGTGGACAGTGAAGAACAAGATATGGCCCTTAACATCCACGCCTTTTCAGCTGGTACGTAGTCGACTGATTTGTTGCTGGCTGGCAGCTGCCGTCTCGTCCTGATGACCAAGTTGTGACTGAATTGATTTCTCACTGCTTATTTTTCATAATTTACCACTGCCACTTTCTTAGCAGTCTTGAAGCTCACAGTGTAACTGCCTTGGAGAAAATACCTGTATGAACCACTAGGCAAAGAATAGAAAAAGTACTTATACTGTATAAAAGATGAATACAAAGGGCGCGTACCTTGTGGCTTAAAGCAATAATATAGTTGTTAGTATTATAAACCTTTTCAGTCACTTGATAAAAATTAGGTACTTGATGCTGTGTAGCTGAAATGATGGTGGAGGAGCCAAGGAGAAGGGCTGTGCTACTTGACCTTGTTTTTATTAGAAAGGCTGGTCAGGGATGTGATGGCTGGGGGAAGCTAGGGATGCAGCAATCCCAATATGATGAGTTCAAGATCTTGTGTGGAAGGAGCAGAGCAATGAGTAAAATTGCTACCCAGGACTTTAGGAGAGCCACTTTGACTTCTTCAGAGACCTACTTGGGATGTTCAGCCTGGAGAAGAGAAGGCTCAGAGATAACCTGATAGTGGCTTTTCTGTATGTGAAGGGGAGCTACAGGAAAAAAGGGGACAGACTCTTTAGCAGGATCTGTGGTGATACAACAAGGGGAAATGGCTTCATGCTCAAGGAGGGCAGACTTACGTTACATATAAGGCAAAAATCTTTTACAGTGAGGGTGATGAGGCACTGGAACAGATTACCTAGTAATGTGGTTGATGCCCCACACCTGGAGACTTTCAAGGCAAGGCTGGATAAAGGCAACCTGATCTAGCTGTGGTTCCCTGTTCACTGCAGGGGATTTGGACTAGATAGCCTTCAGAGGTCCCTTCCAACTCTAAGGATTCTGTGATTCTATGTCCCGTGGGCTAGAGTGTTAAAAAGTAAGGGGGCCCATCAGAGCTGAATGGTGCTTAAACACCACTTCTTCCAAGCTCCAGATGGACCTCGATGGGATGCACCCACATGTGCTGAGAGAACTGGCAGAGGTGATTGTGGAACTGCTCTCTTATCATCTTCGAAAGGTCCTGGCAAATGGGAGAGGTGCCTGAAGACTGGAAGACATAGCTGCTGCCACTCAGTCTTCAGAAAGCATAAGGAGGATCTGGGAAACTGCAGGCCAGTCAGTTTCACCTCTGTCCCTGGAAAGGTGATGGAATAGCTTGTTCTGGAGCCATCTCCAAGTGATTGGAAGAGAAGAAGGATATCAGGAGTAGGCAACATGGATTCACCAAGGGGAAATCATGCTTGACTAACCCGATAGCCTTCTGTGATGTCACCACTGGCTGGGTAGATGAGGGGAGAGCAGTGGATGTTGTTTACTTTGACTTCAGCAAGGCGTTTGATCCTGTCTCCCACAACATCCTCGTTGTGAAATTCACCTCACCAACCACTCATCTATCCCACATTCTGTGTGAAGTGGATTGAGAGCTGGCTGACTGGCAGAGCTCATAGGGTGCTCATCAGTGGTGCACTGTATGGCTAGAGCCCTGTAACTAGCAGTGTTTCTCAGGGGTCAGTGCTGGGTTGGGTCTTGTTCAACATCTTCATCAACAAGCTGGATGAAGGGATAGAGTCCAACCTCAGCAAATTTGGTGGTGATACAAAGCTGGGAGGAGTGGCTGACACACCAGAAGGCTGTGCAACCATTCAGCAACACCTGGGCAGACTGGAGAGTTGAGCAGGGAGGAACCTAATGAGGTTTAACAAGAACAAGTGAGTTTTGCACCAGGAGAGGAGTAACTACAAGCATCAGTACAGGTGATGGCTCTATGGCTAGAGTCATGCAGCATTGGAACAGGCTGCCCAGAGAGGTTATGGTGTCTCCTTCTATAGAGATACTCAAAACTTGTCTGGATGCCTACCTGTGCAAACTACTATAGAGTACCTGCTTTAGTAGGGGACTTGGATTCAGTGATCTCTTGAAGTCCTTTCCAACCCCTGCGATTCTGTGAAAATGGGATAGTCCCTGCTCTGAAGTTTATGCTGAACAGTCAAAACTGAGTAGTGGGAAGCAAATTCAGGTGGTGTCTCTTGTTAATCCTGATTCCTTCTTGTCAGAGGAGAGAGTAACAGCAATGTAACCTGAAAGAGAATGTATCTTAATATATCTGTAAAGTGAAAATAGGTTTAAACCCAGGTACTGTACTTGTTAATGAGCCTTATATATGTAGAAATGAGAATAAGTCAGTAACTGACAGACAACCGAGTTACTGTTGCACCTTTCATTAGCAATATATGTTCATTTGTTGGGATTGTTTAGAATGGGATTGTTCAGTCTGGAGGAGATTCAGGAGACCATACTGATCTCTACAAATCCCTGAAAGAAGGTTGTGGTGAGATGAAGGTCAGCCTCTTCTATGGCATAACTAGCAATAGGACGAGATGGAATAGAATCAAGCTGTGCCACAGGAGATTGAGGTTGGCTGTTAGGAAAAATTTCTTCTCTGGAAGGGTGGTCAGGTGCTGGAATGGGCAGCCCAGGGAGCTGGTGGAGTCGCTGTCCCTGGAGGTGTTCAAGGAATGTTTAGATGTACTAAGGATGTGATTCAGTGGGGAAGTATTGGTGGTAGTGGATGGTTGGACTGGATGAGCTTGGAGGCCTTTTCCAACCTTGGTGATTCTATGTCTCAGAGACAGCAATCTGAAGACACCTTCTGTAAACACAGTGCTGTATTTATTTTTTCCTGAACATGTACACTTCAGGTACCTCACATCCTTTGAGAATATGGGAGCAACTGCCTGCCTCCCGTGCAGTAGCAGCCGTACTGCCTCAAAAAACAGCTCTGCACAAAAGCGTCTTATTTTCTCTTCTGTGTATTTATGGATGCATGAAAACCCTGAGGGCACAGGACATCAGAAATTAGTCCTGAAACTCCCTCCCATGTGGTCCTGAGTTAGAGTGTATCAGCATGTCACAAAGAAGACGCACCACTGAAGAAGTGAACTAATCTGCCATTTTCTTAACTTTTGAAACCAAAATTGAAGAAGCTTTCATTTAGATTTTGTTAAGGTTGTCTGGTGTAAGCAGCTCGTTTGTCAGATTGAGTGTGCCTTTTTGGTGATCTGAGGTTATTGCTTATTGACGAAACTCCTTTCTCTCTTGCACAGGTCTTGGAGGAGCAATCGGTTATATGTTAGGAGGACTGGACTGGACACAGACTTTCTTGGGTGGTATTTTTAAATCTCAAGAGCAAGTCCTTTTCTTCTTTGCAGCCATTATCTTCTCTGTGTCTGTTGCTCTCCACCTTTTTAGCATTGAAGAAGAGCAATATAACCCTCAGCAGGACAGGATTGATGAGGAAGGAGACACACTTTCTAGTGTCAAATTCAGTGGTAGTCTCCCCCCTCTGAATCGACTGAATGTAATTAGTGAGGAGGAGCCTTACGGAGCCTCCATGTTCCACGATGAGGTTCAGTCAGAGCATGATCTCAATATGGAGTTCCTCGAGGTGAACATTGTAAGAAGTAAGAGTGACTCCGTTCTGCATATGCCTGATGCTACGCTGGAAATTGAATCGGAGCTGCTTTTTCTGCATGACATCGAACCTTCCATTTTTCAGGATGCTTCATATCCAAACACTCCCCACAACACCAGCCAAGAGATCATGAAGTCCAAACTCAACCACCTGTCTGCTTTCCTCAGGGACAATGAGAAAGAGGAGGAAATGTTGCTTGATAATCGCTTAAATGAAGATAAAGTCCCAAATATGAATGGCTCCCTACCAAAAGAGTTCCTCAATGGCCACGCTAGAATAGGCATGAAGCAATCCAGTACTTCAAACTCCATGCGGAGGCGGAGGCACATGTTCTACCGTCAGCCATCATACACCTTCTCCTACTATGGCAAAATAGGCTCTCACCGCTATCGCTTTCGTCGGGCCAATGCCATCGTCTTGATAAAGTCCTCACGCAGCATGAATGACATCTATGACATGCAGAAGCGGCAGCGGCAGAGGTACAGACACAGGAATCAGAGTGGCACAACAAACTCGAGTGGAGACACAGAGAGCGAGGAGGGGGAAACTGAAACAACTGTCAGACTTCTGTGGCTGTCGATGCTGAAGATGCCGAAAGAGCTGCTGAGGTTGTGCGTTTGTCACCTCTTAACTTGGTTTTCGATCATTGCTGAAGCTGTGTTCTATACAGATTTCATGGGCCAGGTCATCTTTCAGGGTGATCCAAAGGTAAGAAGACAGTTACCTTTAGCAAACCTGCTTACAGCTACTCATTGCTGGGGCGTGCTCAGTAAAAGAAAGTGGCTTTGCATTTGTGTTTGTCGCAGGCCCCTTCTAATTCAACTGAGTTACATGCCTATAATGCTGGAGTTCAGATGGGATGCTGGGGACTGGTAATCTATGCTGCTACTGCTGCCGTTTGTTCAGGTAAGAGACTGCACAAAGCAGTGGAATGCACCTCATAAATGTGTTACAAGGTGAAAATTATTTCTGCTTCAGCTAACATCTGCCTCCTTGTTAGTGTGAAAGATATTTTGGAAAAGCATTTCAGGTGGTCATAAGCAGAGAGATTCCTTTTAGTATCAATAATTTTTAAAAATTCCTTCAAATGTAGAGGGGGAAATATGAAAAGATTGGCTAAGTGGCATATAGCACAAAATGGCATCAAAGGGTATTGAATTGCATCTAATTAGGCGTAAAGAAACTGTAATTTTGCTTGTTAGAAGATTCAAGCATATGCAAAGTCTTTTATCACAATGAAAATTCAGTATTTCTGAAAGTCTTTTTCTTGCTTTCCAATAACAGTTTACACTTGGAGACTCTAAAATTGAAAACTTTTGACAAACTTAAGTTCTGCCTTTGGCAGGACATGTGCAGGCACATCTGCACAGATGAATATCACGGCTGTTTACAAGGGTGGGTAGTGATAGGACGAAGGGGAATGGTTTTAAACTGATACAGGGGAGGTTTAGGTTGGATATTAGGAAGAAGTTTTTTACTCTGGGGGTGGTGAGGCACTGGAACAGGTTGCCCAAGGAGGCTGTGGATGCCCCATCCCTGGAGGCATTCGAGGCCAGGCTGGATGTGGCTCTGGGCAGCCTGGTCTGCTGGTTGGTGACCCTGCACATAGCAGGGGGTTGAAACTGGATGATCATTGTGGTCCATTTCAACCCAAGGCCATTCTGTGATTCTGTGATCATGGAGAGTGCCTCTTTGTTGAGAAACATCAAATCAAAGTCCAGGTGGGCAGCTTGTGTCTGAACAGAGGCTGAGGAATTTGAGGCAGACACTGAGGACATTGAATCACGGAATATCCCAAACTGGAGGGGACCCACAAGGATCAACAAGTCCAATTCCTGGCTCTACACAGGACCACCCAAAAATCAAACCCTGAGATGGCATTTGTTTTGTTCTTGATCTTTGCAGCCTTGTTACAGAAATACTTGGACAACTATGACCTTAGCATAAAAGTGATCTACATCCTGGGCACGCTGGGATTTTCTCTAGGCACTGCAGTGATGGCGATATTCCCCAACGTGTACGTCACCATGATAATGATCAGCACTATGGGAATAGTTTCTATGAGCATCTCCTACTGCCCCTACGCACTTTTGGGACAATACCATGATATTAAAGAGGTACGTGAAATATTTTGATCAAAGCAGGGCATGAACACTTTTCTGAAGATCACAGTGACAGAGGAGATTTTCTAAAACCAGTAATTTGAGAAACCTGCTTGTAGCACAGATTTGTCCTTGGGAGCTGCTAATTAAGTCAGATGGAATTGGCATGAAGTTCTCTGTAGGGTTTTCTCAAAGTTGCTTTATCCTGTGCTGAGGTGTGAGAGGATATGATAGATTCTTGGCAGTCTTAGATCTTGAGGTGAGTCTGGAAATGCAGCTATGGATGTGGGGAGATGTAATGTCCTCATTTTTGCTGGAACTGAGGACATCTTTACTTTCCAGATTTTAGAACTGTTACATTTGGATTACAGACCACATGAGCATCATATGTTTCAACACATTTCTGTGCTGGTATCGGGAGGGAGATTCTTTTTAAAATCACAGAAATAATTTTCACCAACAGTCTGATGTAAATTTCTTACAAAAACTAGTCCGGGAGTCAAGTTCATGTAGGAGTGCCCCAGTAAATATCTGCTTCAGTGTAAGGAGGAGATGACGCTGTTGCTTTGGACATGCGTAGTGTGGTGCCATAAGGATGGCATAAAGTTGATGGTGGCTGAGACATTCAGGTATGATACCAGTGTTGGAATATGCAATTTCCTCCCTTGTTTTACCTCCTAACATACATTTGTTGTATTTTCCAGTACATTCACCACAGCCCTGGGAACTCGAAGCGAGGATTTGGCATAGACTGTGCAATTCTGTCGTGTCAGGTTTACATCTCCCAGATCCTTGTGGCCTCTGCCCTTGGTAGTGTGGTGGATGCAGTTGGCACAGTCAGAGTCATTCCCATGGTGGCTTCAGTGGGATCCTTCCTGGGGTTTTTGACAGCTACCTTCTTGGTGATTTATCCCGAAGTCAATGAAGAGCCAAAGGAAGAACAGAAAGGACTGGGTCCTCCGGAGACAACTGAGGGCAACAGCACAAGCACAGAGAAGCCAACCGTCCTGAAGCTCACACGCAAAGGAACCACCGCGTCGGAGCTGGAGGGCGAGTCAGCTGTGTGAGGCCGCCGCTTGTTGCTCACCCACATTCCAGGGAGTGCAGGTGCAGGATCAAGAGCTCTTCTTTTTTTCTTTCTCTTTTTTTTTTCCAGGAAAACAAATTAGGATCTTCACTACTTGTAGCTAAAATTGCAGAAGAAAAGGCAGTTTCATGCAAAAATGTAAACGAAGTTCTGTAGTCCTTAATATAGGTTTGAACAGGTAGCTGTGATGCTAATTGCTTTCCCTACAGCTTAGAAATGTCATTTCTGAACACTTTTCTATTACCAAACATTTAGATTTCAAGTAAGTTTTATTTATCTGCATGAGACAGTGTATACAATTAGCAGTTAGAAAAATTAAGTTTTCAGCTGATTTTTAACTAACTGAAAATGGAAGCTATCTTGACTTACAGTCTCCTGCTGTTTATTTGTCTGAACATTTCCAACTTCACTAGTGCAGTAGCTGAATGAAATGCTTAGACATCATGATCAGTTCTTTTCATATGCATATTATTGGTCTAACAGCTACAGTTCTTGAACGTTAATTTTAGAAGTCATATTTTTGTTAGTGCAATTACTACAGAATTGTTTCATTTTCAAGGAAAAAAGCAATTACTGCAGTTTCTGAGAAACTGCTGTGAATCCTTTCGGTCTTACTGCTCAACAATTACTCCCAAATCCGCTGCTTGTAGGTGACATTGAGTGAATGATGTGAACTGTAGGTGGAAGGACAGCAGCTGGGAGAGGTGATCAGCACTCACAGGTTTTTAATGCAAGTGCTGAATTTGATGAATGTCATTGGAATATGCTGTGACAGTTTTTAGCTGGGAGTTTTGCGTACTGGTGAGCTCTGGGGCTTTCTTGGCACTTAAACTTAATCATCTTCATGCCGTGAAGGAGGGTGTCCCTGGGGTCAGCTTTGTGGGATGGGTGTGCAAATTCTCATTTGGTGGAAGGAAGTCATTGCTTACTTGCACTTTTTTGCTCCTTTAACCTCCAGGCTGGGAACGCAGCAGTCAGGTTAAAGCACAGAGTCAGTACAACAAGGTGAACCAAAGGCCTACCTCTGTAACTTTATGGCATAGTCTGGTTGTATACAAATTTGTGTCAGAAACAGTTTCTAGGCCTTAAAATCCAATCCACTCACGTGTTGCTGTTTCAGTCCCTGTCTGGGAGGAATTGTAGGCTGGAGCTCTTCTGAGCTGCTCTACCAATTTCGTCAGCGCAACCTCCGTGCCCCTTCCTTGATTCAGGACATAGCTGCAGTGCAAAGACATTTTCTGTGAAGAGTTTAAAAGAGTTGAGCTGATCTGAGTTACAGTTTTATTTGGATTGCTGGCAGTGCCCTGGTCCGTGGGCAAAGCTCAGAGATCCGGCAGCCACTTAAAGCGACTTCAGAAACTGAACTTCCATCTGTCGTCTTCTAAGGAGCGTTTGTGATGCTGTTCCCTCATCTTGGCGTGGACCTACGGGCTGCAGTCAGTCCTCGTGCTATGAACAGACAAATCACAGCTCATCGTAAGATTTCTGCTGCCTCAAACTTGTGATACTACAGTACTTTTAACTGCATGTGTAAATCATGCTGCAATATAGTCACTCGAAAGAAATATATATATTTCAAAATGAAAAGCAGTTTTTAATAATAAATTACTTGAATTGTCGATGTATTTAAGAAATGTATGTTTTGGTATATTTGAAGCTGACACGCAGTTTTGGCCGGCATCGGTGAGGAATTCCTGGTGGCAAACGTTGTGAGCTGAAGGCTGTCGGTGCGATGTCCTCTGCTACAAAGAGTGACAGTGTTGTGCTTAGGCTGCTGGAATTCCGAGCACTAAAGTACATGGAATCGCATGGGACTTCTTTTTTTTGTTTTAATCCAAGTGTCTCAAAGAATCTTTTTTTTTTTAAGGTGAATATTTTTTATCTAGAACACATACTGTGAACTGTGTTCTGACAGGGGAATAGTACTACTGAAGAATGTGAGACCTTACTGAAGAAAGCAGTTGTGAGAAATATTTTAACCGAACTTCTGCCGTGAATTTTATCATCTCAGTTACATTTAATATATTCTGGTGATATTCATATATATAGAAGAGATGCGTGTTATATTTCACCCTATAACTGGCATTCGTGTAAAATACATACTGAGTTAGACGTTTTAAAGTGGCTTTACTATTTTATTTTTAAAACTTCTTGAAGATTCTACTTTTGTTTCAAGGAACACTGTCAAGTACTCCTTATGTGAACCTTGTTTCTTGCAAGGTTCTGCTACACTTTTTATAGCTCTTCTGGTCGCTGCCAGCCTTACTTATTTCCCCACCACTCACTAGTTCTTTGATGGTGAATGTAGCTTCCAACCACTACTGCTCTGCGTAGCATCTTTGTAAGCCAAGGTTTCTTTCACAGCACAGTCGAGTCACCAAGGTCCAGCTGCAACGAAGGAGGAGATGCTGAAGCTCCCTCTTGCAGACTGATGTTGCATGCGTTTATTTAGTTTTCTGTGTCGTGGCAAGCGGTGAGGATGACATCTCAAACCTAGAGCATTTCAGTCAAAGGCAGAGCAGGTCCAGTTTGTCCCAGCCTCGTTTCTAGAAACTGACATTAAAATGGGATTGTTTATGGCATTGTTTAGGGTGTTTGTAACACATCAATATGCACACTGCTTTGTAACAGGAAGCTCTATTTCACTGCCCTACAAAACCGAAGGAAATAATTGTCCATTGTAAACATGCCAAAGTATTTGTAGTATTGCCAGAAGAGCTCACTTCGGGCAGCCCCTGCCAAAGCATCTCCTCCTGTCCCTCGGCCAGGCTGTGAAAGCACCGCGCGCTTCCCCTGCGCTCACAGGGATCGTTTCTGACATCTGTTGATCAAATGCTTTCTCTTGAATTTGAGAACTTTCCTTTTCACCCCGGGGCATCTCAGGGTGGAGTGGGCACTCATTTATTTCTAAATGCATCCTTCACCTTTTGATACGAACTTCCCTTTTTGTCACAATTAAAATATAAATTAGCATGATTTTACGTCTTCATTGCAGAGGAGAGAGTTGAAGGGGCTTTACTTAATTCCTGATGACAGCAAGTATCATTGTTACTTGCCAGTATTTCTGTACAGTCCAACTAATCCTGCGTGCTCCATCTCCTTCACTGCAGTAGGTTTGTGGTTTTGTGGTTTCACTCCAAGTTGCTCTATACTGTAAACAATTTTAATGAATTTTGCTGCAGTCTTGGTGGCGCGCAGCGCCCCTACATGAGACACTGATAGAGCTCAGATTGCTGAGCGTTTCACCAGGACTCTGCGGTC